GGGGGGGCGGCGGGTGAGTTAGATTGGTGGAAAAATCTAGCTCTATATATTTTGTCTTGATTACCTTTTTTTCTGAAGCTTCTATGGCATCTTAGCATCATTTAAAAAATGGCGGCACTGATTTGCTTTTCTTTAGCAGAAGAGCTTCACTTTTTAAAGTGCATTGGTCATTTTAGTTTATTATCCAAGACCCAATTCCATCTTTTTTGAAACTTGCGATCTCTTTTCTTTTTGGTGCTATATTTCTGCAGGAACCGACTACATTTTTTTTTATCTTCAACCTCCTTTGCTTCTTTCTAGTACTTACAATGCATAATAATATCCTCAGTTTCTCTTAAATTTGTGACTTCCATAAAGCTCCAGATAGAAGCCTGAGCTCATTTTTTACTTGAACTAATAACTAACCCATCTATTTTTATTGTTTTTGTGTCATTTGAACTCTTGCAGAAACCTTAACAGTATGTGAAAATCAAAATATTTCTATTCAAGCTTCTTCCTGACAGTCATTTTCCATTTATCTCAAATATATGCCTTCAGTTTTTAAGCTCTTAATTTGTTCTCCTTTCGAATTTTTCATTGAATCTTTTTTTTTCTGAGTTATCTTTAATTCTTTTTTGGGAACCAAATTAGTTTTCATTAAAATGGATGGATAATTGCAGATAGCAGGCCAAAATTGGTTGCTGGTTCACCTGAAGGGTACTCAGGACATGTGGATGGGAAGCCAAGAGAAGCAAGGATGAACCATCCAAAGGGCCTTGCAGTGGATGACAGGGGAAATATTTACATTGCAGACACTATGAATATGGCAATCAGGAAAATCGGTGATGCAGGTAAACCTAAGTTTTACTATATAACAAAAAGAAGTTCAAATGGTTGATGTGAGACGTGGAAGTGAGGTTGCAATGGGTTAAAAGATGTAGAATTCTTTAGCTGATGCTTTAACTAAACAAGGGGTGGGAAGAGATCAATTATTTTGGACACAATTGCAAAAATAAGAAGCGTAATATGGGGAGAGATAAGAGGGTTTACCTCTCTATGGTTGTATTTATTATATGTATTCGCTTTTTGTTTCTCTCTATTTAATGAAATTTCATAGTTATTGATAATAAATTAATTAAACTTATACCCCTATATGCTTCATCTCCTTGTTCAAATTTCTAATTAATTTTAATTATTACATCACACCTTCATCTAATGTGACTGCATGATCTTGACCAGTCTGGTTTTGCATCTTAGAGAAAATGACAGGTTTCATTAATTTTCATGGGTGTGTTTTCTAGCTCTAACATTAAAAAAAAAATGGGATTTATATTATACTATAGGGGATTTCCAATATTTTAACAGTGGTTGAATTTTCTCTCTGTAGGGGTTACAACAATTGCAGGAGGAAAGTGGGGCCGAGGAATGGGGCATGTTGATGGCCCAAGTGAAGATGCCAAGTTCTCAAATGATTTTGATGTTGTTTATGTTGGAAGCAGCTGCTCACTTCTGGTCATAGACAGAGGAAACCAGGCAATCCGAGAGATACAGCTTCATTTTGATGATTGTGCCTATCAATACGGAAGTGGTTTCCCTCTAGGTAGATCAAAGTTTCTGATATATTTCCAACTTTCTTTTTGATACTAGAGATAAATACTTTGTTCTTTCATTCAAGGGATCGTGGTGCTTGTTGCTGCTGGTTTCTTTGGTTACATGCTGGCATTACTTCAACGTAGAGTGGGCTCAATGGTGTCTTCCCAAAATGTGAGTTCTCAGTTTTTGTCCCTTTTGTTTCTTTTTCTTTTTAAGTTATCATCCTCCATCATTGGCATCTCAACTTGTGGATTAAACATTCTATCATCTCCAAATGCTAAGCACAGGTATATAATATCTTCTGCAAGAATATGAAACATTGGGTTTCCTCTCTTTTTGCTCTTATAGGACCCAAGAGTTCTTCAGAAGGCAAGCTTTACATCCGGTCCATACCAGAAGCCGCCTAAATCATCAGTCAGGCCCCCTTTAATTCCAACTGATGATGAACTAGAGAGGCAAGAAGACGGCTTCTTTGGTTCACTGGGGAGACTTTTCATTAACACTGGAGCATCTGTGACAGAAATCTTTGGAGGATTATTCTCAGGTTTCAGAAAGAAGCCAGTGAACCATCAATACCAGCACCAGTACCAGCAACAGAGCAAGCGTCAAAATGTTTGGCCACTGCAGGAAAGCTATGTAATACCAGATGAAGATGAGCCACCCTCTATAGAAACCAGGACCCCAACTCCACGGAAGACATATGCTTTTATGACCAAGGACCCAGAAAAGACTCATCAATTGCGACAAAGTAGGGCTTTCTATAGTAGTTGGGATGGTGACTTTCAACAGCAGCAACAGCAACAACAGCAGCCGCAACAACATCAGCATCAGCAACAACATCATCAAAGGCACTACTCTTCAGGTTCGCAGACATACTACGAGCAGAGCTGCGAGACGACCAATGAGATTGTGTTTGGGGCAGTTCAGGAACAGGACGGTCGCCGGGAAGCTATGGTAATTAAGGCCGTGGATTATGGAGACCCGATTTATGATCATCACAATATTCGCTCTCGACTGAATTATATGGGTTACAGCCATGGTTATTGACTTTTAATACATATAGAATATAAAATATTTTGGGTGTTTTCCCTCTTAATATCTCGTCATTTGTCTTTCAAAGTTTATGGATAGAGAGAGAGAGAGAATCAGCATAAGAATTATTGTAATGGAGTAAGCTCCAGTTATGGTTTTTGAGGAAGGTTGGTTCTCTATAGTTTAGCCGGTGAATGAACGGATATCTTCTTTTTCATCTCTATCCCTATGTGGATAAGGTATGAGTATATGGAATTGAATTGCAAAACGCATTAACTTCAATCAGGCTTTTAAAATAATCAGTAGAATGTGAAATGGACAGATGAGTCAACTAAAAGATTTTACATTTTAGAGTCGATAGTTGGATCGATCGGGCATTCTTAGTGCTTATTGGCTATTGCTTAAGCACAAGACGTAACGCTTGCATTACCGACACTAGCAAACAAAAGATCATACGCAACAAGCCACACCTGAACTGAATGTTCTGTAGAACTTTTTTGGTAGGTAAATATAAAATAGGATTAGATGATAAAAATGAAATTTTATTTGTCAATGAGAATACATATATTATGGCCTTATGGGAGGATGCAAACGTCTTGGCCCTTTTAAATGACAGCGCAGAGCATCTCGTTGGAATTGATGCTGTAAATCTATGAGGATGGCGCGATCTGGTAACTCCATGGTTTTCAAAACCGGACGGGATCGGACGGTCGGACCGGAAAAACCGGTAACTGTTCAGCCCCTCGGGTCCGGTTGTACTATAAACCGGTAAACCTTTAAAACCCATTGAAAAAGTCAGAAAACCACTGACCCAGGCGGTTGAATCATTAAACCATTCGACCCAGGCAGTGATTCGCAGGTTGTCATTTTTATTTTCACGGATTTAAATAAAATAAAAAACAAAAAAATAAAATGACCCCATATCCCCAATCCCGTCTCTTACGTTTAGGGTTAGAACGGCTCCATTTTCGTTCTAATCCTTAGGGGTGTTCACGGGTCGGGTTGGGTCGGTTTCTTGAGATTTTCCCAACTGACCCGACCTGGTCGGGTTAGCTAGGTGGGAACCGAAACCGACCCACTGACAGGCCAAACCGACCTGATCGGTTTGAGTCGGGCTGGGTCGGTTTCAGTTTTGCTCCTGTACAAAGCCAAATTAAATCTGAATTAGTTGATAATTTGATATTCAAGAGTCAAAGATAAATATAAATTTAATTCACGTAAAGAATAAAATCAATAAATTCTTCATGTAAAAACAAGTGTCAATAATGGGCCTTCTAGAGTAAAAAACTAGGTAAATCTAGGTAAGTAAATCAATAAAATAAAAATTTAGAAACCTTCTAAATTCTAATCTAGGTAAAAA